AACAGCTCCTGCAGGTACATCCACGCCATAAATTCCCAGAAGACACCTTCAAAAAGTCAGTTTTAATCCTGTAGACCTGACAATAGCGAAAGATAATGATTTTTCAAACTTTTCTCAACTTATTATAACCTTGACTTTTCTATATACAAATTTGGACATTCTGACACCGTAAATTATGACTGAACTCACCTTAAGACTTGAGAGTAGTATATTTGGATCATCCTCTTATCTGATATGCTTGTTGCCTATGGAATGTCTCGTACACAAGCGGGCCCTCGGGAATTATGCTGCAACTGGTAGTGGGATTCAAAAGGACGTGCCTTGTCGTTTACAAGTGGGCTCATTTCTTGCTTTGTTCTTTCCTCTTGTGCAAAGCAATTCCATTTCGTTTTCACTTTAGGTAGTGAAATGTAATCGCTCTTCTCCTTTCGTCGCGCCACGTGGGGATTCCAGGCACGTTAGAAGGTGAACATATATATTGACACACGCCGTTTCTCCGGCCGGCTATACACACCGATACTCCGGCTCCGCTTCACCAAGGCAACTGTGTGCCCCGCACCTTCACAACCCGACACACGGCCTGGAGCTTCATCGCATCGTAGCTGTTGGCGAACGCCTCCACCACCAGCACGCCACAGTCGTACCAAGGCAGGGACCGATGAACGGACCATTGCCATGGTACCTCATGCCGCCACAGGCACGTACTCGCGGACCGACACACGGTCCGGTGCCTCACCACGCCGCCGCCGTTGATCGCCACCTCGTGCCGGCCGCCACCAGCACGAACGAATTCCACGACGAGGCTTTGGGATCTCTACCATGCCGCCGATGACGTGCTCCACCACGACCGTACATGGTGCGCCTTCGCTGGGGCTGTTGGAGCTCGAGTCTCTGACCTTCAAGGTCAACATCTTCAACTTGCTCTCTACTCCCTAACCTAGGCTTTTGATACCAATTGTTGAAACCGAGGATCAACGAATGATCACGAGAACATGAACAATAGACATAGCCTTGCCAGCGACGAATGCCATGGCGACGAACTGTATCTTGGCTTCTATTATTCAAACACACAACTCGGTTCACTCTAAAACACGAGCCTACACGGCCAGTTTATACCCACGGCAACGCAGCGCCCATGCACCCACCTTGCGAGCTTCACGCACACGTACGCATGACAGCCTAGACAACCTGGTTTCATGCGTTCGTGAGCCACATACTCCTTCGCATGAACGGATCTCCATCCTTCTCTTGCGTGGCGTGCTCCTGCATGAGCTTAACCGCCAACGACTTGGCCTCTAGACTCGATCAGCCTACACGCGCATGCACTTGATGAACGACATGCAAGCACACACACGCTAACTAACCAACTGACTTGAAACACACTCCAAGTCATGATTATCCTAACATGCTGTATCTTTTTGCTTCCATTTGAACCAAAGCCATCTCAACCTTAATTCCCTTGCAAATCTCTCCAGGTCCAAAACTCCTAGGCCCCCCTTTCCTTTTGGGCGGCATGTGGTTGGCCAGTTTATTAGGGAATGCCCTCCCTTGACATTTTCTGGTGCTTCTCCACGCCATAGGAAACTCCTTCTGATTTTATCTATTCTCTTGATCAACCATTTTTGCGCCGGAAAAGCCGTAAGGTGATAGATTGGCTATGAGGATATGACGGTTTTTACCAGTGTTTCTCGTCCGGCCGTTGATAATAATTTACCTTGCCATCCAGGTAGTCGGGATCCTATCTTGTCAATGAGAGGCTGAATTTCAACTCTTCTCAATTTTCTGGTGTGAAGCGGTAATCCCAAATATTTCCCTGGGAAATTGCAGATCTTTCCCGGAAAATTTTGAAGAAGAATTTGCACTGTGGATGTATCCAACCTGATTGGGAAAATTTCCGTTTTCCCCATGTTTATTGTCAAACCCGAGCATTCTCCGAAGGTATGTAAAATTCTACTCAATCTTGACAGATCGTTAGCTGTTGGTGCCGAAAATATTGCCGCGTCATCCGCGTACAGAAAACATCTCAGCTTTGCTTGCTGTCTTCGGTAGAACCGGCTGGAGGAAACCCCTTTCAGCAGCCATTTCAATGATGCATTGGAGAGGGTCAATTGCCAGGATGAATAGCAACGGCGAGAGTGGGTCTCCCTGCCTCAACCCACCAGCATGTTTGATGTTTTTCCCTGGCCTACCGTTGATCAAAATCTTAGACGATGAAGTCATAAGCAGTGATGAGATCCAGTCCCGCCATTTTTTACTAAAACCTAATGCCTGTAATACTTCCAGTAGATAGGGCCAACTAATAGAATCAAAGGCCTTGGAGATGTCCAGCTTGATGAAAAGGGCCGGGTTATTTTTCTTGTGTAATGTTTGAATGACCTTTTGTGCATAGATGAAGTTACCGTGGATGCACCTTTTCCTAATGAAAGCGTTCTGTGCATTTGACACCACGTTGTCCAGCTTTGGTGCAAGTCTGGAGGCAAGAATCTTTGTTATTATTTTGACGCCGCTGTTCATCAAGCTTATTGGCCTATAGCCTGCCATGCTGGAAGCTTCTTGTTTCTTGCGCAGCAGGATTATGTTTGCCTCATTCAGTAAGTTCAACTTGGATGTTCTGTGGTTGTAAAAAGCTTGCACTGCTTCCATTAAATCGTATTTTATGACGTTCCAACATTTTTTTTTATAAAAGAGACCGATGAAGCCGTCCGGCCCGGGCGCTTTCATGGAAGGCATTTCTTTTATGACTAGAGATATTTCCTGCTCCGTGAATGGCGAATCCAGAGAGTCCAAATCAAATTGTTCATATCCCAGTGCTTCCCAATTCAGCGCGAGGCTTCTCGGCTTCGGCGTGCCAATGGACTGACTAAAAAACTGGAATGCAACGTTGTCTTTGTCTGATTGTGACACCGCTATTCTATCACCATCTTGGATAGCGCTTATAAAGTTTTGTTTCCTCCTTGCATTTGCACGTATATGAAACAGACGACTATTAGTATCACCATGGCGGATCCAAGTTAGTCTTGAATGTTGTTTAGCCTTGCTTTTCTGTATTACTTCCATATATAGCCTGGTTTAGTTCCCAAAAATTTTCACCCCAAATTATCACATCGAATCTTACGGCATATGCATGGAGTATTAAATATAAACGAAAAAACCTAATTGCACAGTTTGGTTGAAAATCGCGAGCCGAACGTTTTAAGACTAATTAGTCTATGATTAGCCATAAGTGCTACAGTAACTAACATGCGCTAATGATGGATTAATTAGGCTTAATAAATTCGTCTCGTAGTTTCCAAGCGAGCTATGTAATTAGTTTTTTTTATTAGTATCCGAAAACCCCTTTCAACATCTTCAAAACATCTGATGTGACATCCAAAAGTTTTTATTTCGCGAACTAAACACAGCGTAACTTGGATTTGATGGATTTCTTGAACTCCAATTCTTCTGAGGTTAGGTTCCTCCTTTCCTGCGCTCTTTCAAGTTCCAGCAGTATCGTCTGTAGTATTGCCATTCTTAAGTTCCAGTTACCGAAATGTGTGCGCCTCCATGACTTGAGTGCTTTGGCCGTACGTAGCATTTTAACATGTAGCTGGAGCATTGCGTCTTGGGTGTTGACCGGCTTATCCCATGCCTGCTTGATAGTGTCCATGAAATCCGGCATGTTGACCCAGCAAGCTTCAAACCTAAAGCCTCTGTAAAATTCCATTTGAGTATCCCCTTGCAGGAGCAGCGGACTGTGGTCGGATGCCATGGAAGCCAACGCCTGAAGGTCATTGCGTGGGAAGAGGTCGATCCACTCTGTTGTCGCTAGCAAATGATCGATTCTACTCATCGTTGGTGATTGTTGGTCGTTACACCAAGTGAACTTGCGGCCATGCATTTCGATCGGTATCAACTGCAGATCACCATTCCGAGATTGAGGCGATCATTATTTTTATCTTGTGCTCGATATATTAGGTTGAAGTCACCTAGGATTAACCATTCCGGTTGCATTGAGCTTTTTAGAGCTTCTGTTTCTTGTAGAAATAACCTTTTGTCTGGGTCGCTTTGTGGTCCGTATACTCCTGTTATGCTCCAAGATATGTTCTCAGCTAGCATTGTGATTGTCGCACTTATCGTGTGTTGGGTGGTTACTAACGGTTGCAAGCTAAAATATTTTTCTGTTGCCGCAATGAGGATTCCTCCTGCCGATCCTGACGGCGGGAGCAATACACAGTTGTTCAGCATGTCCATTCCAATTGTTTCAATAAGCTGGGTGCGTGTCCAGTTTTCAATTTTTGTTTCCTGGAGACAAACTATCGTTGCTCCTGATGAGATAATGAAGTTATGAGTGCTTCCTCTTTTAGCTCCATCATTAAGTCCCCTCACATTCCAACATAGGATGTTGCAATTATTTTGCGACATGTATAAAATTTTCGACGACTTCAGAATAACAGTGCAGAAGCGACAGAATGATCAACGTCTTAATTTGATTGCTGGTAAGGTCCTTGGGAATACTGAGCACAGTAGGCAACCAAGACTACGAAGTTGCAGGTTACAACAATAGGGCCGAAGACAACAGAGTCAGCAGGCCTGTGTACATGTCCACCAAGGGCCGAAGTTAAGGTCACATGACCAGGAGGCCTAAACTGAAACACGGTTGAGTCAGGGGGAGGGAACCGTAGGCAACACAGCCAGCAGGTTTGCGACCTCCCTGAGATGTCACACAGTAGCGAAAAGAGCAGGTTCATTACACGGGCTGATAGATAAGCAAGCCCCAACTTCCACGGCCACACCCACCGACTTGGATACAGGCAAATTGTTTTAATTGAAAGTTCACAAACTAAACCTCAAAAATTATGATGAACCAAATAAATGCTGGGTCGAGTCTAACTCTGAACGTGATTAGGGAAATGAATACAGTTCATCATAGCAGGGTAGGGAAACAGCAGCTATCTAGCAGTTCCAAAGATGGGGAAACAGCAATCAAAAGGGGGAGAAAAAGATGAGAAAACAAGATGTGATCACCAGGACCTCACTACAACTTTGATCTGGTTGGACTTGGGGCGATTCTCACTCTCCACCTTGAGCCGCTCCACTGCACGTTCCAGCGGCGGGTAGTTTTTCCAACCACTAAGCTTGACCTTTTTAAGGTTCTTCAAGTTCTCAAGGCCTACAATGCTCCTCTCTTCCTCAGAGAACTGCAATAGAAGCGTCTCGAGCTTTGTCATTGACCCTTGCTCAAATTTGACTACTTTGGGATGTTCTCTAGCTAGGTACAGATCCAGGATCCTCAGAGCTGGAAAATTGTGTGTAGTGCGTGCAGCGAGTTCTCGGTCTCTGCAGCTCCGGTACCCCAGTTGGATGCTCTGCAGACTGGGCAACTTAGACAGGGAATCAAGTATCTGGTCGCCAGCAAGCTCGACGAATGTCGCCGAAAATTCTGTAAGGTGCTTGAGTGACGAGATCCAATCAGGAAATCGACTAATGGGCCCTATCATAGTAAGATGGCAGAGGAGTGGTGGCGGTGAGGATACGTGAAGAAGAAAGTCCAGTGTCCTTGTGGAACGCAGGCGGAGCGATTGGAGGGCGCATGTCTTGCTCAGGGTCAGGGAGGAGCCAAGCGCACGCGAAAACTCCTCTTCGGACTTGGCCACAAAAATACATAGCACCTGCAACTGCTGCAGCTCACCGATCTCTCGGGCGTCCTGAACGTCACCTTCGAGTAGGGCCCAACTCACCTCGCGCAGCGCCTTCATGTTCCCTAGCCCCCGTGGCATAGTCCACCTTGACACCCTCAGGTGCTCAAGTCTACGCAGCTTTGTCACGGTTGGCGGCATGGTGCAGATCTTCCTACTTCCAATATCCAGAGTCTCCAAATACTCTAGGTCACCGATTTTGCTTGGCACCACGCTGATTGATGTACCCCTCAAGCTCAAGAACCTTAGAAGATACAACCGGCAGACATCTCTCATATGCTTGTCTTGCAGAGCCTTGCAATGTTCCAGATCAAGTACCCTCAGCAACTTGAACTCGCCTAGTCGATCCAGCAGCCTCTCAAGGCCTTTCGACTGAAATATAGTCAGTGATCGGACTTGTTGTAGGTTCATAGTCTCAATGCCATGCCTTGCATGATGCGGCTGCTCCACTTCCTTCTTGTGTGAACTAATGTGATCCTTGCCGTCATTGTCATGGACAGTGAGGCGGCGAACCTTGCTACCTGACAATCCCACTTCGTATTGCCGTCCTACCAAGGTAACAAAGTTGGCATCTCGAGATTTGGACACCATGACTTCAAGCATCATATCATGCACCCGGCACACTTCTAGGGATTTCATATGATGGACAAGGTTCTCTGAAACACTACTTGCTTTGGCCACCGTCTCTATCCGAGTAGTCACAATGATTCTGCTACTGCATTTATTTTCTGGCAATCGATCTGATGCGGATAGCTTCCCATGCTGGTACGCTCCATACATCTTCGATCACAATGAGATACCTGTATTAGTTGGACATTATTAGTTTATTACATATGCTTGGAGTCAGAAAACATGTGATGTGCAAAACTAGAACTACAAAGAGCTGTTCAAAGAAAAATATAAACATATGCAATCAATAAGCTTATGAGTTCTCTATTGGAAGAATTCCACCCACCGAATTATTGCCGAAGCTCATTTTTAGCCATCAAACTAAAAGAACCAGATATCTTGGTCATCAAACTATGGAAACCAGACAAATTTGGCCCTTTAACTAGTTTTAAAAGTGGTTTTTACCTATACATGTATTCTCTAAAAAATAATAAAATTACTTTAGTCTCTAAAAATCATAACTAAAGCATTGAAAATTAGAAAAACACAAAACTGGTACCAAACGTTTTCTAAAAGTATAATCTTTCTATTGGTACTCTTTTCTACTTATTTGGATTTATTTGTTCTTGTTGTTAGTATTTTATTCCTCATAACTGTTGTAACCTTACTTATTTAAATTCTCATTTTGTGCTCTACTTTATGTTGATCGTATAATTAGTTTAGTGTAAGATGTTATAGACTCTATCTTTATATGTTAGATCTTTGTGTCAAACGATCAAAATAAAATAAATCCCTAGCCAATCAATGTCTACATGTCAAAAATATGATCTTTATGTGAAGGAGCATGACAATTGCCAGGTTGTCGTCGCCTTTGAGATTGTCCATGTACTTGGAATTTATCTCCCCTTTTAGTCAATCTTCTAGTCTAAATAATATAGCACAAATTCATAATTTAAATAAATCACTACCGGTTGGTCCAGTCGTAAAAAAAATACCGGTTGGTCCGACTATATGTGTTGCTAAAACAATTTTCACACGCAGCTGATATATATAAAATAAAACACTGCTTGCTGGTACGGATCGGAACTGGTGGATTGACTTAGAAGAGATAAAATAAAACTAAAGTACAATCAAGTTAAAGAGATAACTGGATTGGACCCAAAAAAAAGTCATTATTGTTGTTAAAAGATAAAATAGAGCTATCTGCTTATCTTTTAATCTATTTTCTTACGTGCAATGGAACGATACCAGCCTTCTCCCAGAGTTGCAACGTTCTATCTTTCCTTAGTGTAAGACAGAGAAGACTTCCTTCATCCCCTTAGCCAATTAAAGGATGGTTAAGAGACGACTATTTTGTCCATTCTACCATATGTCCTCTCTTTGGGACATAAATTGATTCCCATCAAAATTCCATTAATATGCATGATTAATTGCTTGGAATGACAATGTCATAGGTTCATGATACAGCTAGTTGGGATTGTATATACTATATTTAGGCTCTAAATGTTCTATTACATGTGTTTGATTAGTGCTAATTTAGAATGTCTATATGTTGTATATCCTTTCAAAATAATTCTAAAATTATGAAAGATTTGGGGATAATATCACTACCGGTGCTATTTGGTAGTAATGCTAGGCATGTAGAAATTAATTTAAACTATAAAAAATAGTGAATTATTTGAAGTGTGCAAACACAATACAAAGACTACAAACATACAACCTTTTAACAACTAGGTCAATGTTATAATCAAAGTCTACAAACACATTACAATATAACCACCTAACAAACATTTTTCTAGCACCCGAGTGGTGTCTCAGAGGTGTAAGAGCATGCTAAAGGGGTGGAGAGAGCCAACCGGGGTGCACAAGGATTTGGAGCCATGATGAACCTATGCCTCTGGCAATTGGCTGTCGCTAGCTCAACGTAGATAGGCAACTAACTAGGGCACTGAATAGCATTATATTGCTACATGGTCGCCCTGGCTTCGATGTGGCTCTATCTTCATAAACATTCTTCTAGTACCTCTCATGCATCATCTTGAATAAAAACCATGAAAGATGTACGAGGAGACCTTTCTCCCACAGAAAACACATATTGAGACTATACACAAATGGTCGGTACACATGCAGGGGGGCTAAGCTAACTGCTCTGTCCGTGGAAGCATTCCGTGTTTTATAACTAGGATCAATGGTGGTAGGTGGGATTAACAGTGGAGAATTAATGATGTGATAGTTAGATGGATCTAATGACTGGAAATAATTAATGATGTGATATTTAGATGGATCTAATGACTGGAAAGAATATTGATGAGTCAGTACACAAACTGGTAGTGATATGAAAATGTCACTGTCGAGTAGTTGCTCGACCCGCTAGGGATATATCACTACCAGGTCATAGCATGAGCCGATGGTGATATCATAGCTACCACTATCGGTTTGTTTGAACCGACAATGATATATCATTGTCGGGTGGTGGTTTGAGCCAACAGTGATAGGTGCCATCGCTGCCGAGTGAATAGCTTCCTACCAAGTTTCTGGATTCTAGGCTTATGACCCAACAATGATAAGTAATCACTGTCGGCTCCAGCATAACTGGTCGTGATGCTCTAGCAGTGATCCACTGTTCTAGTGTAGTGGTCACATTAGACATATTTTACTTCACTAATGCATAACACACAATTTCATCAACGTATCACCGTCTGTGTTGGAGCCAAAGTGGTCTGGCTTCACTTCAGAGTTGTAAGTTTAGGATCCAAACAATGATTGGGAAGCCCCATGTCACTACTGGGTTGAGCCAGTAGAGCTGTACCAACAGTGATACGGGGGACTTCACTGTTGGGTCGGACCACAACCCGACATTGATTTGCCAATGCTAGGTCATGGTTTGACCTGGTAGTGGTAGCATGATATCACTATCAGGTTGTGGATTAACTCGCCAGTGTCTTAGCTATAGTATTGAACCATGGCCCCCTTCTTCCTCCTCTTTCCCATCCCGAGTACACCCATCTAATGAGGCATCTTTCTCCACATCTCTCCCCATTGTTGTGGCCATTTTCACCAAAATACTCATGGAGGGGCTTGTTTTTTGAAGGATGGGCATGATCTTCTTCCTTTAAGGTGGGTAACTAGCAATCCTTTGAAATTTGTGGCTTATTTTGTTGGTTAAATTATTTTTTATTCTCATGCTCTCTATGTGTTTGTGATAAACTTCTTGTACGTGATGGTGGTGATATTTAAGTCTCATGGCAAACTATTTATGTAAGGGCTATGCAATCGTGTGTGATGAACTATGTGTGATTGTTGGCTAGCTTGTTGAACTGTATTTATGTAAGGACTTATTGGTATGGTAGCATGTGATGTCTATTATTGTCATGAGATGGTTTAATGTTTTATATTACGGATTTCTTGCATGATATACTTGTCATATGCATCACGGTTATATCGTTGCACATTTTTTTGTTGCACCTCCGGATTTACATACATAGGGGAGATCACACAGATCCTATATTTGTGCAAATATGGCTAGTCTTGGCCTTAAAAGAATTCAAATCGATATGCACAAATTTAGGGGAGCAAACTCTATCACCACATTCAAAACATGAAATGAGAGGGAGAGCACTAGGACCTAACAGAGAGAGGGTGTATGTTCTTTAGACAGAGGAGGAACTAGATGACATTTCAGGTGTCCCAACTCAAACCCTTTAATCCAAATTACCTTCCGATCTATACAGATCTCCAAAGGTCAACCTATGACCTTGAAGCAATTCCTTTGCAACCGGAGGACATTCTAGAGAGCTTGTTGGTGAAGAATGAAAATTTTGTGATTTATAACTCTGCCAGTGACAACCTAGGAAGATCTGTAACCACACTTTTTAACTACTCTTGCTCTTGGGTCAAGCAAGTCCTTCAGTAGGGAGAGGTGTAATGGTGTCACAGGCGACTACTTGTCCACCAAGATAGGATAGGAGTACTAGCAGATTGACGGAATCAATCGAAATGTGTCGATCTAAGTGTGGAGGGGTTGTGTGTGAGGCCTATGGGTAGTGTGTTGTCAACATATAGTTGTAATAGACAATATAAAAAATGCTAAGTAAAACCTAGATCTTGGAAAATAAAATTCTAATAAATGTTAAACAAAATAGAATAATAGTTAGAAGTAATTGACCTCTAATCTGTGCTTGGCTGCCTCTATCACTCCGGGTTCTGATCCTTTATGTTTCGCTAAGCAATAGTTACCAAGAAAGTATTTTTAAAGTCTTTGTCAGTGCTGAATAATATTTGTATTGCATAATTTTATTAATGAGTGAAATTCCTGCATAAGAAGAGGATTTAGTATTTGATTTACATTGCCCTCAAATTGTTTTGGATAGGAGTCTAGATGACCACAATTCTATGGTCAAATTTGATATCCCCAAATGCCTTAGAAACCTATATGTTTTCATGCTTTGTCCTATGGCCTTCATCTACAATGATGTAATCGATACTTCCAAGTTTATTTGATATTTTATCCATATGATTGCAAACTATCACATATGTTGTTAGAATAATGCCATCTTCTATGCGAAGTTTAAATGGAGATAGTGAAGAGGGAAGTGACTTAGTGACTAAGAAAGGACTAATGTGTTGTTATATACTGGCAAAAGTAAAGTCAAAATCGACTAAGACTACTAGGTTAAATAGTGAATAATTGTTAAACTTACATAATAGCCTAAAATATGTAGATAAACTTATATAATAGCAGCTCAAAATCTGTAAACCTTTACCTAGTTTTCCCGAGGCCCATATCATCACAAAGGATACCCCTCCACTACTTCTACATTGGACATTCCAAAACCACTCGATGGCTTGAAACTAACGAGATAAAAGACCACTATAAACTGAATAAGACAGAGAAATCTTAGCCGACTCTTAATAACACATACTAATTGAAAAGTAAAACAACTAAACTCTCACATCTATAAAAATTTACTTCTTTATGAATTCCTACAATCCAGATTTATCGGCCAATGACAAATATTTCAAGACTACTTTTATTGTAATAATTGATGCTAAACAAGAGGGAGGAGTGCCTATATGTTGTTTCTATTGGCTGAAAGAGGGAGGAGTGGATATATGTTGGTCCTATTGTCCGAACAATAAAGAGAGGAGTCAGGAAGAGAGATAGAGAGCAA